TGACAGGCACATGGAGTGTGTATGCATACAAATCCTAATCTTCCAGTGATTTCACCCTAGTGCCATCTGTACATGAAGTACCCTTAGCCACACCAAAGCTTCATGTTAAGGTTGCAGAGGCCTTTTCCCGGGATTTCAGTGGGATTGAGTGCTTATGTTGCTCAGCCTGTCCCCTGCCATTCCCTTCAGAAGTCATATGGCCTGGGAATGACAGGATGATCTAGCTTGTTCCCTTCAAGTCCTCCGCACGTAGACGAAACCACCATCCTGGCTGGTAAAATTTGCCATTGGTGCACACTTACCATCACCGCACAGATCAGCATCCACTGAGAGCTATTTCTATGACAACCTAAATAGAGACCGCTCGCAGCACTCGAGCAAAAAGCTGTGAGGATAGCGATAGCCTGCACCATGGTCTAACCAGGTCCTCAGCTGATGTAAATCTGACTGCCAGTCAGTCATTTTGTCTCAAATGACTGTGCATGAGAATAACCTCCTCATCTTCTTTATCGGGAAGCTGGAGAGGGACCAGGAGGACGAGAGATGCTGCCTTGGGTATCTGGAGCCCAAAGCATTTGCATTGCATATGTTATAGGCAATACTATGGGCTGAATCCAGCCAGATAAGCCAAATAAGAAGTCAGCACACCCCTTGGAAAATGGTCATTGTCTTTTCTGGTGATACACTGGTTCTCTGCAGATATCTCTGCACTTATGTTTTGGGAAATTCGAAATAGCAGTGGGGAGCTCACAAACAAGTTCTTGAATTCTGAAAAGTGGGTGGCTATTGCATCCCCGGCGCTCCAGCGTTGCTCGCCGACTGGAGAATATCTGCTCAGCGTCCTGGCCAAAGGGAAGTTACATATTTCCTGACAGCTCACTTTGCATGTCCTAACTGCATTTCCTATAACACCGTTGGCCGATTTACTCTGACATCACCGACATGCACCAGCAAACAAGTTTCTGGGTATGTGAAAGTGCTATATAGCATTTTAATCACGCTACAACGAAGCACGTGGTCAGAACACAACTAGATTTCAAAGAAATGCAGTTCCTGTAGTCCTGCAAAGAAACCCACTGACTTTGTTGTGATCTTTGGTGGAGTAAGGAGCTAGGACCAAGGGCATTAGAATCTGACCCAAGTTAAAACGGGAAATGGGCCTTAATGGAATTTGTGGCTGGAAGCACCCCAATCCTCCTCTTCGTTAGTAATTTGGGAGCAGTTTTTGAGGTTAAGTACCTCAATTGCCATGTGCAATTGGGAACTCAAGCCCAATTGAGAAAGCATGCCTAGATTTTCTGTCTCAGAGGGAAAGTATAGATCCCTGGCATCAGCCAGTGCAACGCTAACACCAATCCTTTACAAGAATGGGGGGGTTTCCCCTAATGAATCAGCTCGCACAGTAATTAGAAATTAATTAAAAGTCCAAATTAGTGATTACCTTGTTAGTTTACTTCTACTCTTCTCCCTTGGGATATTAATTTTCCAAATCTCTCTGACAGCTCAAATATCAAACTGTGGCTTTGCATTTCATTACTTGTACAGAATTGTAGTTCAGCACTTCTATTGGCCACTGGAAGAGAAAGTCATGTGAGGCTTAACTGAGGGGTAAAAGACTTACTGGGAGCCACATCTCACTGCGACGAGTGACTTACAGTAATGGCAAATGACATTTTATGGCCTACATGGTGTGCTACACACACAGGCGGTTGGACGTTCTTGCTGTGTTCAGTACAGCACGTTCCCAGTCCCTCGTCCGCACACGCACGTGCACACATGCACAACTGTTTGTGGTCATGGAACTGTAGTGGATTGTGGGTGGCCTGCAAGGTAGGCTTAAAACAATACATGCAGCAATTTACTATGAGTAAGATGGGGGGGGGGAATAGATACTTCTGCTTGATGTGCTAATTTGATTTGAATGACTACGCCTCGTACAGAAAATGGCCGATTTTCTGCATTAGAGCCTGCATTATGAGCCACGCGTTAATGCGTCATGGTAGAGGCGCGTTAGAGCCTGGGGCCAAGGAATCCAGCTGGTTCATCAGACAGGTGATCCTTGTTGCTGCTGTAGGCCTGAAGCTCTTCATTTACTAAATGAACTGAATTCAAACACTGAATTAACTGTTGCCAAACCTGTTTGTCCAAAGAGCACTTACTAAGTAGGTCATACAAAGACAGCTGGTATTAGAAGGCCAGCAAATATGTTTCTGCCTCAGCAGTGAGCTCCTGAAATTGTTTTTCACTGAGAGCAAATGGCATATCCTAGTCGCTTGTAGGCTCAGGGTTTCAGTCCTAGCAGGGAAAGGTAAGCACTTTACCAGCATGGCTTGAGGAGGCTTAATGGAGAAATGCTCTCCCATTTCCTGTTGTATCATCCCCCTGTGACTCACAAAAGGATGCCGTTGTCCAGGAAATGAAGCCAGACTCACTCCTGGATGATGCTTGCTTCCACGGGAGTGGGGGGCAGGGGAGAAGCAGCGTGCAGCATGCTGTCTCCAAGCAGAAGTGCACTAATTCTCCACCTCAAATTGCTGTCCTCTGCTATAAACCTGCCACGATAGTTTTAAAAGAAAAATGAATTGCTAGATTAACAGAACTGGAGATTTTCGGCACAGAAGTGGTAGAGCCATACATACTACATCCTTTCCCATGCTGCTGGAACATGCCTTTTCTCAGTGGTGGAGAATGACTCCACTTTCCACGCATCTCTTGACAGACTCGTTTTTAAGTTTAATTTACGGTTATGATCCGATCTTAATAGGATTGGATTTGCAACATCAAGGTGCATAATGCTAGACCCTGAACATTTTTCTATTATTAAAAATATCTGTTGGACTGCTAATAATATTCTAATCATCTCTACAGAATTCTCTCTCCCACTTTTGATTTATATATTTTTTTTATTTGCCTTCAGAACAAGAGTCAGTATTTTTTTTTAGGCATGTCATTGTCAGATCTCATTCCTTTAATATTTAATAACCATGTTTTTCATTGAACAGACATACAAAATATCCAGCTGGCACCTTAATTCAACTGAGTAGAAATTCAAGACTAGAACATTTGAGGAGAATGCCAAAGACTCCTGTTCTTGGAGTCATTAGGTGAATGATTTTGCAAACCAGTAATTATATCAGCAAGGTAATTGCTGTGAAGATTTGTAGGAGGAAGAATAATTTATAAGCCAAAGAAAGTGAACTGTGAAGTTTTATTATGGACACGATCCTCCGTTACTTTCAGTAAATGGAGTAGTAGTCATCCTTGCATATGAGAGTTATTAGTCTTTATAAACCGGAGGCACTAGGTAGTCTGTCATTAAATGGCTTGTAGGTTATAAATTATTGCTCAATAGAAATGGTTCAGGCTGCTTCCTCAAAATGAATTTGGATGGAAAATATTGCCTCCGGACAATCAGACTTTGGCTTTTGCTTCATTTTTTTTTTTTTTTTTTTGGTTTTCCCTTGGCGAAATAGAAATGAAAAATTTCATTTCAGGGTGGGAGATCCCAAGCTGAACTATTCTGATTTATCAAGTTACAGCGAAAAGTTTGATTTGGGATCATTTCAACACCCACCTGTCTCTACCTGAGCTGCTCGTATGTCTCGAGGGAATTGCGTGTTACGATGTCGGGGCCCCCCCTCGTTCTGCGGCAGAAGTTGGGCTATCCGGAGGCATTATGTCTTCCTCGGATGCATTGAAGTCTCCCTCTGGTTGAACCAACGCAGCACATGGTCGGAGTTCGGTCACCGCAGTTTAGCAAGGGAAATATGATTTGGGGGGCCTGGTCCTTCGAGGAGAATGCAGGCATGATATGCTCTGGGCATCAAAGCTCGGGATGGGTGGGCATTCGGGGTGATACCATGAAGCCAATCAGAAAAAAGGTGCCTGTATGAACAGGTTGGACTGCACCCACTCGAGACTGCACACAACTTGCACGACCAAGATGGAGTTTTCCCCGAGTCTCAGAATGAACTTTCCCCCTAGACGGACGGCGACCGACACCGCAGCTAATGAAACGCAATACCAACAACATTATATCATAAGATCTGCTCTCATTGGCTGACGGTATCTTCAGGCAACACTTCTCCGTTACCTAGTAACCAGCAGGTGTGGATAACTCTTTCCTGAGTATCGCATCTATGACACGATCAATAATGAACCTATCCTAACACTAAGCCACGGGTGCCTTTTGTTTGCTTTGCCGATGCTTCTTAGCAATTGGATGGCCTTGTTGTGCGGCAGAAATTGCAGACTTTGAACCCTCCCGTTTTTCCATTTCGTGCGGTGGCCTGCCGTTGTGTGCAGCAATGCACCACCTCGTGGTGATCAG